TATATACACCCCATTTTTTTCTTCTTTTTGGTTAATCAAATGTTTCTACGGTCACATCAATGACACATTTCCTTTTACTGATTCAAAAAACCCATATTTCATTAAACAGTCAGGAGGCCATGCTGAGAAAGCACTTGATTTCTGAAATTGAATCTAAATCTTCAAATTACTGTACCATAAGTATGTATGACATAAACTGAAGTGGACATGGTATACCATGTCCAGTGTTTGCCAGGTCTCTCTTGGAAATGAGATTTTTAATCTCAATGAGATTTTTTACCTGGATAAATAAAGGATTAATAATAATAATAATACACCATATAGATTTCAGTTGTTAAAGACACGCCCTAATGCTACTTCTGAACCTGATATGATAACTGAAACATAAAAAATGGATGTCTAGTTTATGACTCCATGTGTTCTCTTGTGTTCTTCTGTTTCCTTTCTTGCAGGTGATTTTGCCATACAACATATTCAGAATGAGCGTCACTCAGGTGAAGAAAAAGGCGTCCCTGCTATGCAACAATAAGCGTGTGAAGGAGGGGAAAGCAAGGAGGGTGAGGTTCTAACTTGCATTTTTTTCCTTTTACCTCTGTAATTTTGAAGCTGCTTGTAAGTTATGTTGTGAAATATAGCCATATGACAGCTTTCAGGTGACAAGGAAATGAAGATGTTACAGCAGATGTCAGAAGTGGGATTTTCTGACAAATAAACAGTATTCTATTTTCTTGTGACCTACTTCTTGCACACTGTCCCATTCTTTTTTAAATAATGCTTAAAATGACACGTTGTCCTAATAATCACTTTGGCTTCTCATGTAATTCTCAAAATGAATTACATGGCTACAGTGTTTTGTTGCATTGACCTCAGCCTAACCATTTTAGCTCTCTTCCACTTCACTTACAATTTTCTCAGGTCAGAATGTGGAATATTGAAGTCCATACTTGCTTACTTATTTGGTAAGATTGTTAAAAAGAAAAAATTAGGCTCATCATCAGTGTGAGCTGCGCTGTTACACACCTGACAGAAACTAGGTACAATGTTCAGGGATGCAGTGGAGGGATTAACATTTTCTACTCTGCATTAGTTGTCATTTCATCTCATGCTCTAAAATATTTAATATTTTCAAAATAAGTGCATCCAGATAGTCTTTAGATTTTATAAAGACTTCAATCTGTGATATTTTGAAACTAAAAGACTTAGTTTGTTACGAGAAGCCACCAGTTTGCTTTGTTTCCGTTTAGATATTGGAATCCATCAAGATTTTAAATAGTCAGATTTCCAAAATAAAAGCTCCCTCATTAGATATGGAAAATAACATGTTCAGAAATATAAGATAGGTAATGACAGATAATCAAATCAAATTGTAAAAAATATTCTATCTGCTGCAGATGCTCGTTTTTACAATCTTGTGGCATTTATCTCTCTAACTGCATAATAAAATGAATAATAATTATTATAATTATTAATGATAAAAGCATAAATATTGCATAAGCAGTTTTGCAGTTATGTTATTCATTTAGATTTAGAATTAAGCTAAAATCATTTTCCTTCAGAGAGACTAAGAGCAATTAGTTGTTTTTTTGCTTTAGGTGCACCAATGACAGAGGATTATGTAGAAAATACAATACCCAAAAAATGATGCACAAAATGAACATTATTTGAGTTTATGTATATGCAAGCATTAGAGCTGTAAGCTGAGCTGTTTCAAGAGCAATAGCCTACAGCTCAGCGCCTCATTACTGCTGATTAGGAGACCGTAAATAGGCCTGTGTTGCTGTGTGTTTGCAGGTGACTCCTTCAGTTTTCTCCCAGGAGATGTTGCAGTCCACAGAGGAGCGCCTGAGTAACACAGCTGAGGTGCACCCACCTCGCATCCTGGAGTTGCTTGACCTGAGCGCCGCTCCACATCACAAAGTAAATGCCAGCTATAATTCTGTGATATCACACTAGTTTAAAAACTTTCTTCCTATTACACACAGTGATACAGTATAACATTAACTGGGAACCAACAATAACAGTGGCAACAGTCTACCGTAAAAGGTGCAAATTGAAAGGGAGTTCTTATTTTTAAATATTTTCTTTGATATCACTTACTCCTGCCTAGCCTATTGCCTAGCAATATGTAGAGACTCTTGTGCTGCAGAAACAGCTCAGACCCTTCAGGTGAAGAACTGTAGAAAGGCCGCGGTTGAAATAATCAGGAATTAATCTCAATCACAGCACATTTGCCTGATCACCAGTCTGGTGATTTTTCACGCTCATCATTTGTAGAGTTGTCGCCACATTATATTTTCTCCCCATAATTGATTGTATATTTTAAAATTGCATCTGCACAAAAGCTAGGACTGCATAAAAAAGAGATGATTAATATTATTGGCATCATACTGTGTGTCCATCTTTTCACTGTTAATTAGGAAAAACACGTTTTCTTTTTACTGCTGATCATTACATCAATATGAATAAAAAGCTTGTTTAAATATTTACAAATATTATCATGTGTTTGTGCTCACAAACCAGCAAAGCAAATGCACTGTTCAATACGTATTTAGTGCAAAGTATGAGGTGAATTTGAAATCTAAAGCATTGTCTCTGTATGTGTGTTTGGCTAGGGTTCTTTTCCAGATATAGATCAGCCGCTTTTTCAGCCCTACCCTTCTGAGTTGGTCTTCCAGAATTTCTCTCCTGGACAGACCTACAAGTTACCATTGCTGCTTCTCAACAATGACAAGGTATATTAATCAATAAGAGTAATGAAGATCAAATAATTTTGAAATCAGCATGACTGTCAAGCCTATATTTGAATCAGAAACATTTGTGAAACAACACCACTGCAGCATGACTATTTGAAAAAGAGAAAATGTGGGGAGTGTGAAGAAAAGGTCATTGCTGACTGGAGGAAATCTGAATAAGATACCATGATAAGATACCGTTTTCAAGCAATGATTAATAATCACTACCTTTGTCCTTCTTGCTGTGCTGGGTTTATGCACTTATCTACAGTTTATGTTTATTTTTTTGTTCAGGTTTCACGGCAAGTGAAGCTGGAGCAGCAGAACTCCGTGTTTTTCAGTGTTTTGCCTTCAAGTGATGCACGCAGCAACGTTGCACCAGGAATGTCTGCCACTTTCACAGTCTTCTTCACCCCACACGAAAACAAGGTACAAGAGACGTTTGCATTTGATTGGACTTTGCAGCACAAAAACAAAGAAGCCTAGACTGAGAGAACAAAACACAAAGTCACAATAACCACATATAGGATGAGGATAACCTCATATGATCTTGTATAGCCTTTACCAGACTTTCTGCATAAATGTTTCATGAAGTCTTAGTTAGAATCAGAATCCACAAAAAAAAATTGTCCTAAATGTTGAATTTAACTAAATTAATTACATGTAAATTTTCTGTGTAATTTTGGTACGGAAATACAATATGAAATCAATCAAGAGAATATACTTAATTTGTATACATTTTCCTTAGTGTTTAATTATTTCAACAAATAACCTTCTGATTTTGTCACATATATAATTTTAAAAAATGTTTTTTAATTATTGGTTCATGTTTACTAAGGAAAGAATCTTTTTTTTTAAATTGTTTTAAGGGTTAGGACTCAAGTATGATATTTTTGGTTAGTTTGTTATTTACATTTGAATAACTGAGCAGCTAATGGAATAAACAGCTTGTTTCGCTCACCCCAAACCTGCAGCGTCAGATGGCTGCCACTTCCTGAGCTTCATTGTGTCTGTGGTTTCTTCCTGTTAGAAGGGAATTTTTCCTCCCCACTGTCACAAAGTGCTTGCTGATGGGGATTTCTCTATATTACTGTGGGGTCTTTGCTGCCTTGAGGTGACTGTTGTTGTGAATTGGCGCTATAAAAATTCAGTGTAAGAATCAAACTGGATAAAATTGAACTGCTGGTATGCCCAAATTCAGTGGCACAAAATTATTTAACAACTGATATAATAAAGTATATTGAGTTTATAGAGTTTGTGTGGTTGCAGCAGGCTTTTCTCCTTGTCTACACAGGACTACCACCATAGACTGGTTTGTGTGACAGAGAGGGAAAAGTTTGAGATTCCAATCCGGGCCATTGGGCCACGTGCCATTCTTGACTTTCGAGACAAGCTTGACTTGCCCGTGTGTCCTGTGAAAGCTTCAACTGAGAAGACTCAACTTGTTTGTAACGTAGGAAACAGCAAAGCCAAATTCAGGCTCCACACAGAGAGGTGAGAGTAAAACAGTCATTCTTGTACCCAGTGAATAGTTATTTTTAAAGTTCAGCTTGTGAAAACTGTTAAATACATTTAAGAAAAAAATTCAGAATCATAAGTGAACAGAAAACATTTTTTACCTACTTATCAAAAATTACACAATGGAGTCTTGGGTATACCTTTAACTAGACTTTACAGTACTTATTGTTGGGTCTAGTTAAAAGTTTGCTTTTCCTCTGTCAGTTTCTAAAACAGTAACCTATTATTGCAGGCCTTTTTCAGTGACACCTGAGTTTGGGGCACTTGATGTTGGCGAGAGTATGCAGGTGACTGTGGTTTTCCACCCAATGAACACAGGAAACCACAGGCAGGATCTGTTGCTGCACTACCATACTGGTGAGAAAACAAAACTGTGACACCAATGAGACTTGTGTTGAAGACTCTTCAAGATGTAACAGATAAATACACACTGATAAGGGGCTTGCGAGAGCGGTGCGTATGTGTTTGTTGGTTAGGGGACCAGTGAAGTAAAGGTGACATACTGTAGGTGATGAAAGAGAATATAGCCAGTCTTTAGGGAATGAAAATTCAGCTCATAATGGCTGTATTATATCACATTTCCTGCTTGGTATGGCTAGATCAGAGGGGTTGTTTTCTCTTCTCCCTGATTTCTTCTCATAGTACATGTTACATCTTAGTGACTTTGGTATACTGCCAGAATCTGGTATTTAGGAATCTCCTGTTGTCTTTCAATTAGACAAGAGTAACCCTGTTAAATTTCACTTAAATCCCGACAGTATTCCTCCATATTTTTACAAATGACTAATCAAAACAAAAATAGACAAAAAAGGTCTCTTGATACCTATTCTCCACCACTTATGTTACCCTGTGGTAACCAGTTACTAGGTCATAAGCACCATGATATCTTCTACTCAGGTGAAGATGTGTACATTAGCCTGCATGGGTCTTGTGAGGAACTGAACATCCACCTTGAACCTGACTCCATCTGGATGGAGAATACTTATGTCTCCCTGATCAGTACACGCACAGTGTCCCTCACCAACCACAATAGCATCCCTCTTCAGTACTGCTGGACTGTGTGGCCCAGCCAACAAGAAGAGGACCTGAGCTTACTGAGGTATTTATGCATGAGCACAAAATGTATTTATTAGAGCATGTGTTGCCAGAAATGAGCTCAGGTACCCATCACATTCTTTCTGTCGTGTAGATCTTTGTCCTTCTACTGGCCTCTTTTTCTCTCTGACCCTCCTCATTTGCTATTTGTTATACTTTTCACTGTCTCTCCCTACTTTTCTCTAGGGAGGGCTCAGTGCTCCAGCAGAAGGAAGAAGTCGAGCTAGGACAGTTGCTTAAGTCTGACCCTGCAGGGATCCATTACCTCCTGCTGCAGTCTAGAGCCCCACAGGAGCACAGAAGTCAGGATGCAAACGACTACCTCTTGGCCCTTTCACACTGTATAACTGTGGAGCCTCCGGTGTGTTTGTGTTTCATTGTCTTGTCGTGTGTTCACATGATTTTCCTCTTGCCAGACTGATTAGTTGAATACTTAAATGTCATTACATTGCCCATTGTTTCTTTTCCATCAACTCTAGAGGCAACAGTGCCTCCTATAGTACGTCTGCATAATGTAATAGTTTTAAGTGGGGAGAAGGAACAGGAGCAACAGCACTTGAAATTTGTTGATGTTTCCGTGAATCATTTCTTGCAGCATGCTCTACCCTCAGAGCTGTATTATTGCTGTGAGAACAGAATTCTGAAAAGGTTGATCAGATCTGATGTTAAAACTGTCACACAGACTTTGTGATCAAGACTGTTTGCATATAACGTCTGTCTGATTCTTCTGTGACATTAGAACCACAGACCTGTCCAGAGACCTTTAGAAAGTATGAGCTGCTCTGTCTTCTGTCCCCAACTCAGCCCCATTCCCTGGACAAAGAGATAGACAACACAGAGTTAGGGAGGTCACCTGCGTGTGTGTGTATGTGTAGAGTAAAGCCTGACCAAAAAATCAGTCGTTTTCTTCTTCTTACGTTTTTGTAATGTTTGCATTTTGTTTCACTAAAATAATTATTGTTGTCTTTACGTGTTTCAGGAGGGGGAAATATGGCCCAGCACCACAGCGAAGTTCACCATCATCTTCAAGCCTGAGGAGGCCAGACTTTATCAACAAACCATATACTGCGATGTCACAGGTTTATTCCGGTTTCTCAAACACACACACATACAGCAGCAAAAGATAATAATTCATAATGTTATCAGTTTAATCAGTACTTTTTGTCCATTTTAGTCATGTTTACATTGTTAAAAAATAGGGCAAAATCACAGAAACACAGAGGCAACTTTTAAAATTCACCGCCACATGCATAAAATCTGTGTGATGTTTTCTTTCCTGTGGCCCTACAAATTTCCTTTCTCTGTCTTTAGTTCTATTGTAACTCTTTCATCATGGCTGTTTGTCATCTTAGGATGTGAATCACCGTTACCCCTCACAGTCAAGGGCAAAGGCATGGGCCCTCAACTTGTGCTTAACTATGATGGGATGAACTTAAAAGATTTATTCATAGGTGAAAGATTTCGTCAAGAGGTAAGAAAACCAAGCCAGTGTGAACACGTTATGTTATTCCCAGTATGGCTCTAATGTAGAATGCTTGAGCTACAACTTTGTGTGAGTTGAATTCAGCCTTGGTGGATGCACTGCAAGGTTATAGTTCTTATCCACAAGATAACAAAACAGCATATATTGTTAAAAAAGCTGTAAAATAAAATAAAATAAAAACAAAAGTTTTTCTTTTGACAGTTTTAATGCACAAATGTAATGCTGAAAGATGATCAATATTGGGTATTTGTTCTCATACAAGAATTCATTCTTCAGGTGCAGTTGTCAAACAAAGGGCCAATTGATGCCCCTTTCAGGTGGTCAAGTCCTGACACCACTTTTGGCCGCTGTTTCTCCTTCAATCCCGAGGAAGGTGTTGTTCCCTCTGGCGCCTGCCAGATAGTGGAAGTATCGTTCTGCAGTCCCATTCTGGGTTCATTCTTTGAGGAGTTGCTGCTAAGTGTGGCAGGACAACCTCAACCACTGACCTTCACTGTTGGGTAAAGTTAGCAAGCAGCGAGCCAGTTCTCTGCCAGGACATTTACATGTAACACAGCACAAATAAAAGCTGACCCAGCTGTAGTAGTGGGTCTATTACACTCGTACTGCATATTTTCAAATCTTATTGTTCCCGAGGTTTCAAGGTTTCTTTGTCTCTTCTTTGCAGGGGTTCCGTCATTTGTCCCACAATCCACTTCAGTGTTTCAGAACTTAATTTTGGGGATGTAGCCTTTGGTACATCACTTTTGCTCTTCTAGTTTTTATAACATATATCCAGAGAATAATGACAGACATCATCTTAATATTTTCACATTTTCTCATATTTGCTTCTTTTAATCTCCCTGCATAGGTTTTCCAGTAACAGTTGGTTGTACGCTCTTCAACCCTTCCTTTGTACCCGTGAACTTCATCCTGCGTGTCTTGGGGGACGGGCTGGGCTCTCCTAGTGTTAGCTCATTCAAACAGATTTCGGATGAGTCACTGAAAGATTGGCAAGATTATAGTGCTAGAGATCTTCATCCATGCCCTGTGGAGTTCACGGTCAGCCCGGCAGCAGGCTCAGTGCGTAGCGTGTCCGATGTTGACATTAAGGTACAGTTTATTAACACCATCCCCACCACTGACAAAATAGTCCAGCAATCAGTGTTTTCATGTTATGAAATAGTAGGAAAAAACCTCAAATATTCTGTTTTTATTTTTATATACATGTAAATTATGTAGATTATTTAGATACTATAAAAAATATCTGGGCAATCTTGAAGGATTAGTAAATCTCATTGACATACTTTGCCGGTTTAGACAATAATCAGATCTCTAGCCAGCAGTCATCATCATTGTGGTTACCCTGTCGATACTGGGGTCTTTAAAGCTGAAGGTGACATTAATGAACTTTCCTTTCCTTTTAACCTTAGACACTTGTTTTTGTGGTCTTGCTGTATGTCTGTGCGATGTTTGTACAGGTCACACTGTGCTCCAACACAGTCAGGACATACCAGCTGTCACTGGTGGTGGATGTTGAAGGTGTTGGGGAGGAAATTCTGACTCTGCCTATAAATGCTAGGTACATAAACATGCTTAATGTCCAGACGTACTCAAATAAACAGTTATTGAAGTCATTTCTGTCACAGCAAAATGAATCTAACATGTCATACTGGGCCCATTTACACAGATCTTTATTCTCTATTAGCCTAAGACTGAAAATCTTTTTCCCTTTGAAAAGGGAAACGTAATAAAAAATGATGAATAAGAATGAATGACCATCCATCTGATATAGGAAAATAGAATGAAATGTCTTTGTTGTGGTGTCTTGGTTGGTGGATGAGACCCATAAAATCCATGAAATGACATACATTACTATAATTTTTCTCATTTACTTTTTACTATAAGTATAGTAGTTTTTACTCAGCTGTATTTGTCATTAGAGATTAAATGGAACATATTATGTTCATTACCAAGTCAAGCATCCCTTAAGGATCCCAATTAGTAGGGTGAGTGTTAAGTAATCTATTCTGTCATCTTTTTTCCTAAAGCAATATAGCTTTTTTTCTTCCGGTAGTCTCTGTTGCACTTTTGTTTGTTTGCATCCATTGAACTTGAACTTGGAGGATTAATAGAGTTTAGGCATGATGAAGTGCAATTACACATCTTTTATTCTCCTCACCTTTTCCTTGTTTTTCTCCTGATTGTCTGACTTGCTTTTTTCCCCTTTGTTGATAGGTGTGTTGTGCCTCAGATTTTGGTGGATACTCCAGTGCTACACTTTGAAAGGTGTTTCCTCAATCAACCCTTCGAACAGAAAGTGCGGTTGACCAACCCCAGCAATTTGCCTGCCTGCTACGGCATGCTTGATCAGGTTGGATGGATCACCAGAGCAACAACAATTATAGAGTTTACATGTTTTGGCAGCCACTAAAGTGTTTTACACTGTACCTTTCCTTTTCAATCAATATGAAGTTGGAGCCAGGAGAAAGTTAGCTTAGCGTAAAAATTAGAAATACCCACTTTTAGTTCGTCGCTTGCCACAAGGGGTCACCACAGGTAGCTGCACAAATTTGATTTGGCAGATTTCTATATCAGACGCTGTTCCTGATGCAACTGCTAAGGGATTTGTGTCTCTTCCTTAGAACAAACTGGGATCTTTCACTTGTTAGGCAAATGTGTAAACAGTTACACTGTGGAGCCATGAGCATAAAGATTGGAAATGAGCAAACAAAAGAACTGGCTTTGTCTAAATATAATCAAATGGTAAAAGGCCTTGTATAGCACTTTACTAGTCCCTAAGGACCCCAAAGCGCTTTACACTATATACAGTCATCCACCAATTTACACACTGGTGATGGCAAGCTACATTGTAGCCACCAGGACCTCTGACCACCACCAATAGGCAACAGGTGAAGTGTCTTGACCGGCAACCTTCCGATTACAAGGCGACCTCCCAACTCTTGAGCCACAATCGCCCACAAACAACACTGTGTCTGATTTGATTTCGTTTTCTCAGCCTAATAAACAGCTCACTCTTCTTATTTTGGAACTCTGCGTGTGTTTCTTGTATTTCACTCAAAAAATGTTTATTTGGGATTAAGTTTAGAAAGTTATGTCAGGTGGTTCCACAAAACTGTGTCATGTAACTGCTAAGAAAGCGTTTAAGTTTTATTTGTGTTATTTTGCTTTGAATTGATTTGGATTTTTGAGACAAAGGGCAACAAAAACTTTCGTTATATAATCAGTGACTGTGCTTCATATATATATATATATATATATAGCAGAGATGGATTCTTTGTGTACACATGCACTGAGGCAACTTGTGGGCGACCGTGGTTCAGGGGGCGCTTTGGGTCCCTAGAAAAGCGCTATATAAATGCAATCTGTTATTACACATGCACTGAAGCAACTTACCTAAACACATTTTGTACCAGATCTGTATGCTGACATTAAAACTTATAATTTAGTTTTTCTTTTTGCTCTCCCTGTTTTCAGGAATATGAGGATAATTCTTCGCTGCTTTTAGGCAGTTCTGCACCCAGAGGAGTGATTCATCCGGGCAGCTCCGAGGAGCTTCCTGTGCGTCTCCTAACTAAGGCCCCTGGAATGCTGCATCACACGATACGTATTGCTGTATTTGGGAGCTCCCAGCCACCCCTGGTCAGTGGAAGTGCATGTGTGGGAGTGCAAGTTGTGTGTAGGTCTGAATACCGGCATGGTGCTTATTCTCTAATCCTACTTCTGTTCTGTTTCAGGAAGTGGCCTTATCGTGTATTGGGCACGGGCCACTAGTTCACATTCAAACCACACAGCTACACTTTGGCAAAATCCCAGTTCTGATGGACATTGGCAAAACCCTGCTCCTGTCAAACCACTCGCCTATTCCAGCTCACTTTACCACTCCAATGGTACAAACACTCACCCAAGAAAATAAAAATACCATTTGTGACTTAGACAGGCAGGCACATACTATTTACTTCATATCTGTCCAACCATAGATCTGTTCACGTATTAGCAGTCCGACTTTCTTAATTGCTGTGATTGATTAATTATCAGTCTAATTGGATATGTAATTTATGAGCTAATGATTTTACTGCTATGGTAACTCTTGAAATAATTAGTTGCTGCTTAAATTTGAGAATGAGAATAAGGGGCTTCCTTTGCACTAGTCATTTTAAACCAAATTGTGACATTTTACCAATTTAGATAGACTAATGATAAAATTATGTAGTCTCACTGTTTGGTGTAACATTTATGCACAAAAAATGCTGTTAACCTTTATTGTTGACTAGACTTCAACTTTCATCTCTTGCTCTCGCTTAATCTCTTATCTCTCAGAGTTCATTCATAGCAAACCTTTGCAGCACAGTTATAGAAAATGCTCCCACTTGATATTTTCATGCATCACATTTAGTGCTGGAACGACCTATTGGAGCTTCTACGCTGCTTTGTGTTTTTTCCTCAGCTCATGATGTTCACACTATGAATAGACTCAGATTTTTGTTTCTGCTTCCTTAGACCATCAGAAAGCCCTTTTGGCGTATTGAGCCCAGTGAGGGGGAGGTGCCACCATGGAGCCAGGTGGAGCTCAAGGTCGTGGTGCATCTGAAGGATACAGTTCCGTTTGAGGGCAAGTTAGAGGTTTCCATACAGGACAGTCAGCCACTCACTGTCCTCCTGTCTGCCACTGGCACTGGCACTACAATTGTCAGTGACAGGCCTTTTGGTCCCAGCCTTGACCTGGGCACCCACTTCAGGTAGAAATCCCATTTTCATAGACTAAAATGGAGCGTTTCCTAGTTATTAATTCACGATGTAGATGTGGATAATACGACACTGACACTATCCTTCGTCTCTATTCTACTTTGTAAGTCATGAAGCATACCAGTACCACTTCAAGCTCTGCAACCATGGCAAGCGAGTACACCGGATGTACTGGAAGGTCGATACCTCACAGCCCACTGCAAAACTCTGCAAAGGTGGCACCTTGCCCGACCAAAGCTTCCTACCCCCTATCTTCACTCCTAAACAGAGAGATGATGCAAGACGTGGATCTTCACTCCCTTCCAGCAGGGAGAAGTCGATGGTTAGCCTCAGACCGTCTCGTCTGGAACTTTTTCCAGGTGGCTCTGCTGACATGGTGCTGACAGTCTCTGCAGACTCCCCAAAGGTGAAATAGTTTGTTGCAAGTTAAAGGTTTGCGCATGCACTAAATGACATGATGTAGCATAGTAAGCAGCATAGAACATGTAAATAATGCTTCTTTTCAACAACGCAGGTTGTACGTGAACGTCTGGTGTGCTACGCTATAGTTGGCCAGCAAGGGTATCAGGAGAAAATCATGTCTGTAGACATTGCTTGTCGCTTTGTGGCTCCGCTGCTCAGCATTTCCTCAAAGCAGCTGAACTTCTACATAAAAAAGGTTAGTCTTGAGCAAAAATTAGAAACAGTGCCTTGTCTAGAATAAAGGCATATACTGAATGCTCTCTATTGTAATGCTCTGTAAGTTGCATGTATTTTTAAATATTATCTAAAGCCTAGTTAAAGGCTAAAGTTAAATATCCATAAGCTACAACTTTGATAGATAGCTATGTCAGTCTTACAGGTGTCCTTAATGCATTTCGAGATTCACAACCAAATGCCACAAAGATGTTGTTTAGTTTAGGGATATTGTGACAGGATGTTCTAGCATATTCCAAACTCTGTATAGTTTAGTGAAAGCATTTAGATTATTTTAACATTCAGAATTTTTGAAAATTACAATAGTTTAACCTTGTTAAAGACATCATTAGCTCACAGTTAACAGCTAGTTGTCGATTAAACTGCAGCAGCTTCATTCCTGTCCTTTATTGTGGTTCATTTAATTAAGGATTTGTATATGTGTTACAGGTCAAAGGGGAGAGTATGCGGCCCCTGTATGAGAAGCTGATCTTGAAGAACGTGTCCTCTCTGCCTGTATCCATGAAGCTGTCGCTCATAGAACCTTTCTCTCTGTGTGAGGCCCCAGGGGAGCACAGTATAGCCACCACTAAGGTGCACATTGTTGTTTGCTAGTTGTTTTCGTTTTAAGTTCCAGGAAAGCAGATTTCCTGGATTCTCACTGTTCTGTGATAGAGCCATGCACCAATGTTTGTGAACATTTTTGTGGAAACATGTTGTGTTCTTACTGTCTTGTAGATGAGCTTTTCTCCAGATTAATGTTGTTATTTTGTTTTTGTTATTGTGTGTCATGGATATCTGTATGTGGTAGTGGGACTTCACTGTATGTGCACTTCAAACAGCTCCATTCAAGATATACAGATATAGTAGTTCAAATTAGGGCATCCATAATATGCAATTCGAATTCTGTAGTGGTGATTGAATGATCCTGATTAGAAGGATAATTCTGATAAACTTGGGTCCCGTGGCAGAATTATAATAAATATTTTATTAAATGATTTCTTTCTTCCAGGTGCAAGAGCATGCTCTGTGAAAGAAGTGCTCTTACACTGATTTGCCCAATATACTGAAGTGCTATAACTCCAATAATAGTCTTGTGTATTTTTTCCAGTCTGTGGTTTTAGGCGACAAGTGTGAGGCTGAGTTGTGGGTATGCTTTAATCCAGCTTTCTATAAGGATCGAGTGTCACACAATGTGGATGAGGTAACTATGATACATGCTGTTATCTTCTTTCAGTTGTGCATTTTTGAGCAGTGGCTTATTCACCTGGATTTACATTGAAATTAAATAGGCTGGATAGAAGTAACATTTACTTTTGTTTATTTATTTTTTTACTCATTTAATGATCTAAAACTAATGTCTTAATTAAGCTATCAGATAATCCTTGGCTTTGAATAAATGTTCACTTACTAACATAATTTTTTCCCTCTTTCTTGAAATGGTTTTCAGTATCTTGAGGTAAATTACTTGGGACACCCACAGCAGGATGTAGTGGACCTGCATGCAGAGGTCCACTACCCCAACCTCGACTTTCCCTCCACCACTGTAGATTTTGACTGTGTGTTAAACTGCACAGAGACTCACAAAGTCATGACCATCACAAACTGTTCCCTGCTTCCTGTGTCCTATTACTGGACCTTTCTGGATGACCACATTAACAGCAGGTATAGTCACACAGAATCTGGCCAAACAGGACTAGAACATGTATCACATTTATAAACCAGACACTGCAGTATCATGTTGTATAATTGTAAAGTGATTGTGTGGTAAGTCTTTTAAACCCAGATTTGTTCTGTTTTAGATGTTATGAGGGTCAAAAACAGCCAGCCACATCACTTAAGAAAGAGATTATAGTGCTATTACTGTGTTAATACAGAACCTATTTGGATATTTATTTTGACCAAGTTGTCTAGTGTCAAGTTTGAGATCAAGTATCTGACAGCTAAAGCAAATCCACAACAGAATCATGTGTGTTTGTATAAACATGATCAAAACATTTCAGTGAGTTAACTAATTTCTAATATCTGTACTTGTTTTTTAAAAAAGAAATCTTGGATCTGTAAGATGCCAAAGTGAGGAAATATCCTAAATATTTTAACTTCAGATCTGAGTAAAGTTCTCTTAAAGAGAGAGGAAATACAACTGCACGATCAACTGATTCTGATTTAAAAAAATGAAATAACAGGTCCACTTCAAGAAGATCTTGAATTTGTTTGGGTTTTTTTCCACCAAGATGCTAAAAGATAGTATCATACTTTTCCTTCTTTGCAGAGAATTTTTCATATGTTCCATTTATTGTAAGATTTCAATGCAGTGATTATGAAAAATATATTTTTAAGTTTAGGGATGCTTTATTTGACTATTTTGCTCTTATAGAAAAACAGAGATGCTGAAAGGAAAAAAGAAAAAGAAGCAGAAACTTTCAGAAAGTCAACAGGAAGAATGGAGGCTCTCCTCTGCAACTCTTTCACCTGCCTTTTCAGCTCCTCAAACCCCCCTGCTAGCTGCAGATCAACAGAGCAGCACACAAGCTTCTGTTCGTGTGGAGGAGGTAAGCAAATATTTCCATGTAGGAAATTTCTTCTTTTCTTTCAGGCACACAAAACATAAGCAGATTTGTTATCAAAAGAAACTAGACATAACATTTATGTCCAGTTACTTATGAGTCTTTGCTAAAATAATACAACAATGCCCTTTAAAAAGATAAAATTGTTTTATTGTCACAAGCCAGTTGTGTTGTGTTGTGGCGTTCCAAACAGATTACCAACAGTGCCCTCTGGTGGACAATCCATGCAACATGAGTAATGGTTGAAGGGCATTTCTCCTGTTTTCTTCATTTCTTCATCCATGAATTTTCATAGTAGATTCATGGATGTAGTGAAAGAAGGCATGCAGGGGGTTGGTGACATGGTCCGCTGTGATGACGCTTAAAGCAAGCAGCTGAAAAAAAGAATAAATCATTTGGACTCTAGTTGCAGCTATGATTATGTTCTTCACTGATTCAATCATAGAGTAATTTTTTTATAATCAAATTTCATTAGATTCTTGTCTATACATTGTAAATATTTTAAATGTATTGTCCACCATCTTTCAAAACTAAGATTCAGAACATTGCTGAGAGTAAAACCTAAATAACATCTGGTTTTCTCGTTGTGTGTGTAGGTATTTGATATTTTGCCGACACATGGTCATCTGCAACCTGGGGATCAGCAGGCAGTCACGTTCTCTTTCTACGGCCACGAAAATATCAGCAGACAGGTGGTCACGCAGTGCCATGTAGAGGACGGGCCTACATATGAAATCATTCTCAGAGGACACGCATCAGAAATCAACTACACCCTTGACACCACCCATTTGGACTTTGGCCAGCAGGTGCGTATACAAGGCACCTTAATTCTTACGTTTCTTACGGGTATCTTTACTCCAGCCAGCTCCATCTCTCCAGTGGTTAAAGTTCAAAGTGTAAGTATTTGGACTCTCAGCTTAAACACATTCAATTTAAAATAAAATAATGAAATCTACATTAAGTTACCAAATCTCAGATTTAATTTTAGTACCTTTATATTAATATAGAAAGAACTGTGTGGAGCAGTTTTAACATGAAGATAACGATAAAAGGGCTCCCATTTGACTCAGAGCCTTATAATTCACAATAGTTTACATTTAAACTGAGGTGCAAAGAGTACAAATTTCTAAAGGTAATAATGAGAATACAATTCAAAACTACTCAGATCCAAAGCATATTGCTTTGCAAATTGCTGTTAGACCCTTCAAGAAGTGAGTTGGGTTGACCTGTGTGAATGCCTAAGAAAGGGAGGAAGGGTCAAATGATATTCGCTGAAACATTCGAAATGACACCATGTGCATCTCTCAGCTTAGTTTTGAACACTTAGAAAGTTAAACACTGTATAGAAAGACTTACATTTACCATATTTCTATACACCAATCAGGCCTAACATTATGACCACTGTCAAGTGAAATGAATAACACTTTTAATTTTTGTACATCATGGCATCTGTTAGTAGATTGGATTTGATTCAGAGTAACATGTTTTTGCTTGCCCTGCTTGGGCCCTTTCTCATATTTTCATAAACCTTGAGATTAAAAAAAAAAAGTCCATTACGGTCAATGCTTTTTTTTTTGAAAAACAAATTGTTTTCTCTACCAAATTCAGTACATTCGGTCACTAGGTGGAGTACTTTGTCTGTTTGCAGTAAGCGGCTTGACATGATCATTAATAAAAGTAAAGGTGCAGTTAACTTTAAAAGGCAGAACAGTGTTTCCTCTCTCCTCTTAGTCTTTGTCCTTTGCTTCTAGCTTTTTCATTGTGTAGGTGAAGTTGATGTAACCCTGACAAATACGGGCAAGGTGGGCTTCAAATACAGTATACACCCTCATAGAGAGGAGGAGGATGAAGGGGTTGGTGAGAAGGAAGCACGGCAGATGAAGGTCTTTGAACATGAGGTCAGACCTGGTTGGCCTACAGTCATTCCTGCTCAGGTGAGCTTATGAGTTTGCCATTTCAATTGTGGATGTTCAAAGCTATTTTATCACAAAAAGGATGGCTTTCCTTATGTGTGTGTGTGTGCGTGTGTGTGTTTTTGAGACAGGGTTACCTTGATGCAGGCATGGTACAGGTTCTCCGTGTACTCTACCTTCCGGGCATTCCTGAAGTGTTTAAGAAGAAGCTTCAGATGCAGGTGGCTTTCCTACCACTGGAGGAGATCACTCTGACTGGTGTGGGAGTGTTCCCCAGGATCAGCCTGAATTTACCACGAATCCTGTGTATGCACACACACACACACACACACACACACACACACACACACACACACACACACACACATGCACGGAGATGTGTTCAATCCAAAATCAATGAGCTAAAAGATGAATATTTCGCTCATTTAAATTTACTTTAAAATAGTGCTTTTGCTCAAAATAAATAAATGATTCTGCATCAGACAAAAGGGCTGAAAGTAGGACTTATAAATACATATGATTACATCAGTGTGTTACCATCTTATAGAACTATATAAGGATGTTGTCAATTATCCTTGTGAACTCATATTTCCCTCTTTTTCTCTTTAAACCAGTTTTGTTGAAAAGCATCAAGCTCAAACGGTCCATAATAGACCTCTATTGTGATAACAGTTCTTGAGACACAAATTCAACTTCTTATTTCTGCACTGTGATTTCTCTTACAGCAGAGGAGTGTTATAGTGACGTGTTACAGCAGGCCAGAACAGCTGTGGAGAAAGATGGAGTCAAAGAGAAGCTTATATATGAATTTACTGTTCGGGGAGGAGCAGCAACAGAGGCGACGCGCACACTCACAGTCAGTAACTTCATATTAGTGACACCTCACATTTTCTATACTTTTGTTGAGGATTAAGAAAAAATACCTATTAATATGTATGCTGACTTGATATTGTGGACATGTAGGGAATTTATGAGGATTTGTAGGGAAAATTAAGCACAAATAAAATCCCTTATTGCAGAGGTATTTACAGTTGTAGATTGGTAAGGTTTGTTTGTTTCCTCTGTTGAGGTTTGAGTGTTTTTACCACTTCTTCCATCCCCTGCTATTCTCTGTTCTCTCTTTGACCTCTAGTATGAAGATCTGCTTCACATGGAAATTGAACGATTGTTGGTCAAAAAAAATGCTCTTGCTGTGGTTGATAACTTGCTGGAAACTGAAGAACCACAAGAGTCCTTCAGAAAGTGGAACAAGCTAATAAAGTATGTAAACACAACTACACACATGCATTTTGGTGACTCTGTTTTGAAGTGAGAACTTTGTCAAACTGTGCTGGGGAATTTGTGACTGTTTAGCTTTTTTTACTTTGTGCACTCTTGATACGATGTCATTATATCTCGTTGAAAGTCCACAAATCTATAATATAATGTATAAGATACTTCAGTTCAGTATACAAAGCAAAATTATATTTAGTAAAATTATAATACATATATTCTAAACATTTTTACAGACTTTAGTCTATAACAATAAGTTATATTGCTAACATGCTTGTTTGTGCCCAGTGTTTTATTCTTATTATTTAAATCTTTTTCCCAGGTTCCAACTCCCAGAGTACATTCTGGATTTTGGTTTTGTCATTCCTGGCAAAGTCGTGAGTCGTGCTGTGAAGGTCAGCAATAATGGATTAATACCTGTGTCTTTCCATCCCACTAACAAACATCTTGGAGACACAGGTAATATAATGTCCTCCTACTTTTTTAGGTCATCATCGCAGGCAAAGACAACCTGTGTTTTTTTAAATGCTTGAAATAAGGATTAGTGGGGTCCGGTTCATTGATGAATCTAAATTGTCCATAGGTGTGAATGTGAGTGTGAATGGTTGTCTGTCTCTCTGTATTAGCCCTGCATCAGGCTGGGAACCTGTCCAGGGTGTACCCTGCCTCTCATCCTGTGGTAGCTGGGATAGGCTCTCCAGCCCCCCTGCAACCTTGACAAGGATAAGCAGAAGAGAATGAATGTATGGATGAATGGTTGGATGGATGGATGGATGGATGGAATAAGGATATGTTTGGAAGTGTATTTAATACAACTGGCGCTGCTTTGCAGCATCAAGTATTGATTTCTTATAGTTGTTTTTTTCTAGCTTAGTGTGTTCTGAAAGAAGATACAGTAATAGAAAATGTAGATTTGTAGCAGTTTTGAAACCATCTTCATGTCTAAAGCTTTTGTACACAGTGGTGAATTTAAGTATTCACCTCAAGTATCATTTTTTTAAATTTCTCTTTAATTTAAATGATTTTAAAATAATTTATGACTCTTTTTGGTTCCTCACAGGTTTCACAGTAGACTTTGAAAGCATGAAGAACCAACCCCGTGATGAGACGAAGAGTTTCACAGTTAAATTTGACCCACAAGGAGTCAACCTGGATTTGGGTTATACGAGTGCTATTCTCCCGATCCAGGTATACACAGGCTTACACCTGTACATGTCCACAAACTAAATTTGTGTCTTTTCACTCTCCCTCTATAAGTCATTTTGGATCTAAGAGGATTTTCTTTGCTGTTACAGGTCGCAGGTGGTCCAACGGTGCAAGTGCGACTGTGTGCAGTGGTAACCATGCCAGCTGTCACAGTTTCCAGTGATACAATTCAATTTGACACTCTGCAGTGTGGCATGTGTCAGGTACACCATGATAACAATGGATGATGACTCTGTGAAAGTTCTTTTCTCTTCCTATTCCTTTCTCGTCTAGTATTTAATTTGAAATACTTAGTAAGTCAAAAATTGCTGTGCCTTGAAAATATTTTCCAAGGCACAGCACATTTCCCCCATTCTTTCTTCTAATTCCACCATAATAAGCAACAAACAATACAAAAGAGTACAAACAATATTTGTACTGTATACAAAATTATTACAAAAATCAAGCAAACGATAATAGCGATTCAGTTTCACCATCTAAGTGTATAAATAAGGCTCAAATATTTATATTAACTCTCTGTCTGCGTTTTTTGTTTTTTGTTTTTAAGCTCTACTGTTATTTCATTGCATACAAAAACCAAATTCACAACCTTAACTCATGTTTCATCTTTTTAATCCATCTTTTATATACTTTGTGTATAAATTGAATTAATTTTCTTCATTTGTGATTGGACTGAAAGATGTAGGTAGAATCCTATAACCATCCACAGTCAGATGATACAGAGAACCAGTGGGTACTTTCATTCAAATATAGCACCTTTCAAGACAAAGATCACAAAGTGCTTCACAAAAAAAAACAATAAAAATTTAAAAACAAAAACAGAATAAAGAACGAGGTAACTAAATGCAAATCAGAAAGATGAGTTGTTTTTTTTTTTTTTTATTATCAGAGACCACTGAGTCCACAGATCTAAAACTTAAAGGGAGAGACCTCCAGCATCTGTGGCCCATTCTGGCAAAAGTGCTGTGTCCTTTAGTTTTCAGCTTGTATGATGTACAGTAACTGTGTCCTTATCAGAAGACCTCAGGGACCTCTTGGACGTATTGCTGCAAAAGTTTAATGATTTAAGCTGGTGCTTGACCATTAAGAGCTCTAAAAGTCATAACCAGATGTCACAGTCTGTGCTTGCTGACCGTGTGGAGTGTGAATAGTGGACCCAAACGCAGACAAAGCGAAGCATGGAACGTAATTTGGTTTTAACAAAAACCGAGCTGTTTAATATAGCTGATGGAAAAAATACTAAACAAAGGGCAAGGTATGAAACTAAACAATAACCTAAACTGAGCAAACTAGAATTAAACATGGAAAAACCCTGAACACGGCCATGGAAAAATCTGGACACGAGGAACATGAATACCTGGAACATGAAACATGGAAAGCAGGTGACCTGACAACAAATGACAGAAAACTCACTAAATACACAGAGAGGTGACGAGGAGAGTGGAAACACATGGGGAACACAGCTGAAATGAACATGACCCCACAAGCAAAACTAAACACACTGAACAGGGAACATGAGACTGTCAAAACAAAAAAGGAAACATAGGGAGACGTAGACTGGGACACGTGAGCTTGACACAAGGGTCGAGGTAAGGCAGACATGAGAGCCAGAGAGAGGGAGTGAGGGAACACGAGAGAGAGGGAGGAGGAACATAACTCAGACATACAAAGGATGAGGAAGACCTAAACACAGGGTACACGACAGACTCATACACCGAAGACATGACACTATGGACAATGTAGTGGGGAGACACAGACATGGGAGGAACCTAAATAGACAAGAACTAAATAGAGAAACATAGGGTTCAAACATAGAACTAATAAAAGCATTGATAACAATTTCCAGTTTAGAGCATGATACAATGGTACTTAACCTAGAAATATTTCTTAAGTGATAAAAACATCTTTGTGTAATTTAAGTTTTCTAGGCTTAAAATTATTGCATTTTGAAAAACAATACTTAATTCATTTTAACCAGGTGAACATAAATTGAGTCTGATGTGCAACTTAAAAAATCAGTCGAGACAAGAATCTTTTTGTTTCAATGAACAGTGAAAATCAGAAATGGTTCTGCCAGGTAGGTGCTTAATCCTCGGGCTGGCTGAAACAGACAGAAAAACCTGAAAACATTTACAACATGCATGACTGACTTCAGAATGCGAAGGAAGGCATATTTTTCTCCAAAACATTGACTAAGAGATAATAGATCCTGACTGAGTTAGAACAGATATTAAAATACAGTAAGTAGATGCTGTGTGTATAAAACAGTTATTAACAGTTAATGAAAGTGGTTATTTTTATGTATTTAACAAATATACTGGGTCTGCTACTTTTGTTAGTGTTTGTTTTGAAAACATTAATGGGTTCAAACATGTTTGAATTACAGTGTGGCCTTAAGACAACAATTGTGATGGCTAAAGATCCAAACGGGACACACACACACACACACACACACACACACACACACACACACACACACACAAATAATTGCAGTGTGTTCCACTGAGATGAAAAAAATATATGCAATTACAGTAAAATCTATTATTCAAAGCTAACCACATTTGCAAATTTCTCATCTCTATATTTGTTTTCTTGGACCTGAACATCTTTATATAATTCACAGTCCTTAGTTATCATTACTAGGCCATGGTGCAGCCTTTCACATCATCTTTTATTTTAAATTTGCCTTTTTTTTTACCAGTTCTTCCTTTAAGTTTCTTCTGATTGGCTGTTCCTCACAATTAACAGTTTTGAACAGCAGGTAGGCACAGCTGTCAAGCACAGAGCTCTAACTGGGCTCACTGTGGTGCCCTCCTACATATAGTTACCAAGAAATTTATTTATTTATTTTTTTTTAAATTTTATTTATTTAGGACAGTGCATGTTAATGAACATAAATGTAAAAGAAAAAATGACATGAATGTAAACATACCAGATTATAGCCAAGGGCTAATTTCCATCTGTTATCCTTAAGCATAAAAAATAGACATAATAATTCATAAAAATTCATCATTCATTCATAATAAAAACTCCATCACCAAACTCACACATACACACCATTCTGTTCCCAAATAAAACATTAAAACTATACAACTCATACATGATCACACACTTGATTTGTCCATAACCAGTTTTTAACCTTTGCCTTAAACAAATTGAGTGTAGAGCATTCTCTAATGGGTTGAGGACGACTGTTCCACAGATGGCCACCCTTGACAGAGAGGACGTTCTGCCCAAATGCTGTCCGTCTGTGGGGTATAAACAAGTTTCCTCGGGTTGTAGCTCGAGTGGTCCTGTCTGAGCTTTTTTTATGCCTAATGAACTGCTTTAGTGGTGGTGGAGCAAGCTAGTGTAAGACTTTATATATTAAACACACTCTTTTAAGTTTCACTAAGTTATTGAAGTTCAGTAATTTATGTTTTTTTAACACATGGCAGTGGTGGTGGGAAGTTGGTTTTTTGTCAAGTAGTTTTAAACTTCTTTTATAAATGTTTTCAATAGTTTTAAGTGTTGTTGGACAAGCAAGTGACCAGGATGTCAAACAATAGTCCATATGAGAGATGATCATTGAGTAAAAATACGTTTTTGCAACATTCATATTTAAATTATTACATATATGATTAAAATTTCGATTATTAAATTTAAGTACCTGGGACTCTTTATTTATGTGACTCTTGAAGGATAATGTTGGGTCTAGAATGACCCCAAGATATTTAAATTCTGGAGCTAATTCAAGCTCTACTCCATCCAGGAATATGTTTGACTGCTTCAAGTTTATGGGGCGTTTTGAAAAATACATACAGACAGTTCCAGTAAATCAGTGAATTGTCAGACCTATACATTCAAACCTTTGGTATTCTAAAGGCATGAGTAAATCTCTTTAATTGAAACCAGTTTTAACTTGCAGTAATGTTGTGCAAAATGTAAGAATTTCTTTATAACCCAACAGATGAAGACAATACAGCTGCTGAACCATGAGTCTGTGCCGTGTCACTGGAGCATAGCTGAGGAGGTTAAGCCTTTTAAAAAGGTATGACTGTTGTTATTTTGTGGATAATATAAAAAATGGAATCCACAGGCCATCTGTGTCATGGCAAGAAAGATATCAGATAGAGAGAAATACAATAAATGTGATGCCTGCATTTGTTCTTGTTCTCACTCAGATCGATAAGTTCCTGCCCCTCTACAAGCGTAAAAGAGCCTTGCAGGAGCAGCGTCCACCTCCAGTGGTGTTTGAGATGTTTCCCTCCTCTGGTGTGCTGTCCCCTAGTGAACGGGTCAATGTCCACATAAAGTTCAAGCCTGCTGATGGGGTGAACTGCTTTTAATATTAGAACAATAACTGTTAGATATAATTAGTAGCATAACATCATACTGCTTAATCATGAAAAAGTAGCAAGAGAACGTGATATAAAATATGACAAAAGACCTACTGTTTTGCTCTATTTGTCTTTCAGTGTCCTTACAACAGACGGCTAGTGGTGCGAGTCACTGACAGCACCCAGGAGGTGTTCATCACAGCTCAGGGTCAGGGTGAGGATCCACATCTCGAGTTCTGCCCTTCGGTACTCGAGCTGGGCCCTTGTCTCCCTGCCAGCACTGACGTTGAAGCTGAGGTTACAGTGAAAAACCCCTGTTCTTTCCCCATTGAGTTTTACTCCCTGGAGTTTGACACACAGTATCTCCAGGAAGAAGAGGTAGCACTTTTTTCCTAAAGTTTCAGAAATATTGTTGCAAATTTACTTTAAAATGAAGTGCATGATTTTTAAAGGCAAGGCTACAAGTGGTGTAGTAATATGAAGAGATTATGTGATTTCCTTTCATTGGTAAAATATGGCATGATTAAAAAGGCATCAGAGAAAGAGACAAAGTAGAAATGCTGTGCAATGCAATTTTTTCACTACAGTTAATCTCACACAGCTTTCCTGAATTAAATGAGGTGTCTCTAATAAGACATTTTTTTCTGGGTTTTTAACTGCCCTCTCTTCTCATGGTCACATGCAGATTCTGCGTTTGATGCAGGACTATAAAGACAACAGTGTGTTACTACTTCCTCCACGTGTCCCGGGAGAAGGGCTTCCCTCAGAACTGCTGGACTATTACAAGGAGTATTGCTCCAAGATGAAAGACGAAGGTATCTTTAAAGATACCTAAGCAGCTATTGATAATATACACACAGTTATGTCAGCACATATTTGTTTTAATGTCTGTCATAATGTCACTTTTAATCGATCTGTGTGCCCCAGAGCTGAAGGCAGGTACGGGTCATGATGATCAAAATGAAGACACACAGGGAGGAAAAAATAAGCCTAAACTAGATGAAGACCACCCAGAAATTAGAACTACAGGTGTGAAACCACCTGAAATGTGTAAGTACAGCAAGTTTCTTCTTTGTTGGTTCTCAGTCATCCAGGCTATGATCACCTTGAGTTGAAAGCAACAGCACTTCTTTGTAATGTCCTTTAAGATGTTTCACTTCTCATCTAGCAGTTCATAAAAAAATGCCATCAATTTTCAGACTTGTGTAATTTTCTTTGCAAACATTATTTTGCTTGTAAAATTAACATTTAAATTCAAATTCAGTTTTCTCAGAATTGACCAGATTGGCGAGCAGCGAGAGTCTAAGACAGTTCGAGATGACCCCTATCTGCAGAGCAGTTGCCCGACATATGGGTGTTGACCTGTCACCTGAGGCTCTGATTGGACGCAACTGCAGAGGCATTGCTATTATCGTATATGGAGCCCCACTGACAGGTTTAAAAACACATTCTGCAATGAAAGAATTTAAATGACGATAGTGAATGAAACAATCATCCCCTGCTGGAGTCAGTTAACTTGATATAAAAGGTGTGTGTGTGTGTGTATATGTGTGTGTCTCTTTTTTTTTTATCAGATAAGAGCAGCATAGCAGCTGCTCTGGCACTTCGGTATGGAGCAGCGTGCCTCTGTGTTGATGATGTGGTTACAGATATGCTTTTAAATGGCACTTCACCGGTTAGCCTGACAGCCAGACAACTCTTTGACTTTGCTGCTACAGAGCATGCTCAGAAAAATGCTAAGGAAGCTGGTAAGCTGGAAGCTAGAAAGCAGCTTGTGATGGAAAAATGAGTAACACCTTTAACTGGTCATTTTCAGTTTTAAGTAAGCGGTTAAGAGCTGGGCTGCAGCGTGATTCAGCTGTCAAAGGAAAAGAGGGTGCGACCTGGGCAGATTGCCAGTTTATTGCATGGTCTGAAAAAAGCATCATCTTTAAAAACCGTCCCAAAACACAGATACATGTTTCAAAATCAGAAAGGTTTTAATATGGTTAGAAAACTGAAATTAAATTATGAATTTATCGTTGGTGTGAACAGGTCAAAACAAAAGACACAAAAAATAGCCTGATATCAGGCAGCAATACCAACTCTTTATAGCCTGACTCTCAAATCTGCAGCCAGGCAAACACAATAAGGACAGAAGAGTAAACCTTCTCTATATGTGATTGTTGATTTTTATTAAACTGTTTTGTTTGTTTTTTCATTTAGCTAAACACATATTAATAGTTGTACTACAAAGTGATGAAGAAAATGTACACGGCAGTATAAAAACTCATCAGAATTTAGAACATGGTCTAAAAATGAAAATTTCCTTGGGACTAAACCATTAGAACCTACACTTACTGTATCCTCTGCAGCAAATTAAATGAAGCTTACCCCCATCCTTAGAGATATTTCAGATCTTTTACAGTAAGGCAGGATACCATAGCAGAAGAGTAACTAAAAATTACCCACCTGCTACCAGGTCTGGTCATTCAGGAAACGTCTGGATCAGGACCCACAGCACCTCTTGAAGCCTCCGATCCAGATTCATCGCCTTTTATACAAAATACAGCCAACAACTGTGAGGACAACAGTAGTGAAAATGACTCCAAGGCTCCCCTGATGACTGAAAATCAACACATTGTCCATTGTCTGGTACATTTTCTCGAAGTATCTCCGTATCTGTTGTCTTTGAGCTTTTCACAGGACTTTATTTTGTTTGTTTTTACTTTTTCTTTCTGTTTTAATGTATTTCTTTTCTCTATGAATTGGTGGTCTGGTCCTTGCTTTGCAGTTAAATAATTCATTTAAATTTCATTTCCTTTACACCTCTATACAAAACTATTGTATAAACTGTGAATACAGAGTAATTGTTACTCATAGAAAACCAATTTATTTAGTGTGATTTTGCTTCAGGGAGGAGATGTGACCACACTGAGGAGTCTGTTGCCTGAGCATTTACTGGTTGATATCCTAGCAGAAAGATTTCAGGTGAGGTATTACATGGTGTGTATATACAGAAAAGTGCAAACTGAATAACTCTTAGCCAGTGCTGTGCAATAAATTGGCACAAATAAGGAATGTTTTCTCTGATGTTTCTCTATTTATTTTGTAATTCTCTCTAATGTTGGTGCTTATGTTGTGATTACAGTTAAGCGATTGTTATCGTGGAATAGTGATTGATGGCCTGGACTCAGCGTACACTCGGGTTCCAGCGAGCACTCTGCAGGTTGTTCTCAAGGCCTTAAGTAACCACAAACACATCTATTTGGTCAACTTATCTGACTCTTATACAGCCCTGAAGGCACGGGAAAAAGCTCAAAGCGAAGCTGAAGGTAAAATATTTACAGACAGAAATTCTTATACCTGTGAACAGACCTTATAGTTGTCATGTTTATGTATTGAATT